ACACTACGTTGCTATGTGCAAATTTCGGAAGGGCGTCCTTATGTGCTAAACAAAGTTTATTATATTAAACATCGAATTGTCTCATTTATATTATAATAAAGTTATTAAAAATCATTTTTAATGTGATTTGAAAAAACGTGGTTCAAGGGTGCCTACTCTCCCCTACCGATTTGGAACAATCCGTTACGTGATTAATTATGTCATTAATTACGTAATTTCGTTACGTGATTTCGTGATGTAATTTCATGACATGATTTCGTGACGTGATTTTTTTCAGTAGGGAAATAAACACATGTGTGATGGGGAATTTTTTTTTCGACGTTGGTAATTTCGAATAGACTTCTGATGACTTCTGCACATAAAACGCGGAAACACTTATTGCCGCGCGGCAAGAAGCGACGCGGTAGCCAATAAACTTTTGGTTCCCACGGAAGAACAACACGTTGATTGGCTACCACGTCGCTTCTTGCCTGTGCAGAAACCATGAGTGTGTTTCCAATTTATTACTACGTTTACGCGAGCGTTATTTCTGTAGCAATTTATGATAATTCACTCGTTTACGCGGAGTAAATTATCGTAAGTTACTACAAAATCCTGTTTACGCGAAGGAATCATCGTAAGTTACTACAGAAGTAACGGTCGCGTAAACGTAGTATTGATATGTCACTTCCGGTTGTGATCCGCAACGATTTTTGCGTATGAAGTCAATAAAGGCCATATTGCACGCAACGAAGTTTTAGTCATAATCGTAAGGCCGTAAGAAAATAGACCAATCACACTCTATTATTCTTTGAGCTCGAGGAGAATAATCGACTGTGATGGTCTATTTTCTTACAGCCTTAGGGCCCGGACACACACTTTTTCGTAACAGTAACAGTAAAGTTTCGACAAATCGCGTTGCTCGATTCGGCCGTACGTTATTTGTATAATGTTCTATGAGACATTATTTAAATGATAACTGCGAAATAATTAATAGTAACAAATTATGCTGATAACAGAAATGGCAAAAGTTTTTCAAGGTTAGTTATAACGTTGGTTATTAGTTTGATTAACGAGTTACAATTAATTGTCATTAATTATCCCTGCAGTTGTACAAGCAAATTTTTTGGCAGAAGCTAGCATGGAGTATGCAGAAGTATGCAGTTAAAAGCGGCATGAAGGGTTATCATAGCATGAAATCCGAGGATGCTTACCCGCTTCACGACGCGTTGACATATGCCATGGATATCTTCTTAAAGATAAAGACAGTCCTTACCAAACCAATAGTTCTGATTACTTGTCACACCCCTAAACTCGTGGACAACAAAAAAACGCATCAGATCAGAAGGCGTCATCCTTGAAAGACTTGGACATTAAATTATACGTGATTGGATTGGGAAACAATTGGGTGCACGATCAGTTCTATAAAGACTTAGAGATGCTGTCAAGGAAGACGGACATAGATGTTTACAGAATGACATCACTGATGGATCTGGTGCAGCAGATTAAAGCGCCGTCTAAAATTATTGCGCGATTAAGCTTTTAGGTGTGTGATGGCCTGGAGATTGATTTGGTCGTGCGTACTTTTGGCAGGTAGGTCTTCACGTTGATGAGAGTAATATTTATTTTTACAACATTGTTAAATATTGTACAAGTAAAAACGTAAGCATCGCTTTATAGAAAACGTAGATGCTTGCAAACGAAATCGCTGAGCAAAGCGACTAATTAAATTTTATCGAAATCGACGTATTTCAAGGGTGAAGAGGCTTACAAAAAGGTGTATATTTCTCGCATAACGTAATCGCAGATCTTGCTTAAAATGACACATATAAGGATATCTTGGATTTTTTATTTCTTACGTTTGATTTGCTTGATTTATTATAGGACAGTGACAGTGACAGTGACAGGGAGGAACTTTATTTACCTTTTGTGATACCAGAGGAAGTTAACTTGGAAACTAAGGAGTCAATCGATGGTTTGAAGCTGCGTTTCATGCAAAAGGAGCTACACCGGATAAAACATATACATCCACCAGTCATCAAAATAATCGGTGTAAGGCCTATACGTGACGATCTTCTTAGATATCACATTAAGCGGAAGTACTTTGTCAGAGCAGATTACGGTAGCACTCGTAAAGATAACGAAATATAAGATACATGATACAAAAAATTTAATGCGTGAAATAACACTCGATTCATGATATCGCAGCGTTTAATTACTATAAAAGTAATGTCAAATTGGTCTTTGTTTTTTTTTTCGCAGATAATCTATTGTTTTTTGGCGCTTTATTAAATAAATGTGCCATTCAAGAAAAAATGATAGTGTGCGCGTTTACGTTGCAGATGAATACTCGAACTAATCTCTGCTACATGATTCCAAATGCTGAACTGGGCGGTTTTTATCTATCGAGAATTGCATTCCAAGATATATCTAATTATATTCACATAATAATGCGATCAGAAAAAAGATATTCAAGATATTCCTTACTCGGCAAGCTTAATTTTATATTAGGGGACATAAGAGACAAGAGCGAAGCATTGCTGCATTTCGACACCCAGAATTGTATAACCGATAAGCAAGTTGCGTTGTGGAAAAAAGCAATTGATCGACTCGTCGTGAACCACCATCCGTATATGTTCAAATCCTATAAATTGGAGTGTCAAATACAATAGTGGAGAAGTTAGCTCTGGACAAAGAACTCGGTTCTCCGCCGATAGCCATGAGAATTTACATCGAACTTAAGAACTAATGTTGGTTTTATTTGGCTCTATTTAATCTTTTGTTGTTTGAAACTATTGTCGAAATATCATTGTTACTTTCAATTAGGATAATATTAGTCTAGATATAGGAAGACAATAGCTATCTATATTTGTTCAAACCAGGTATTTTATTGTTGCTAAGACTAATGTTTTCTTCTGAATTAGTTTGCATTTCAAGTTCCATATCCGTTTGAATCCTGTGTATTTGTAACCTGTGTATTTCCTTGCACAGCTTTTAAAATACTTAGAGATTTTAAGGATATCTCGATTCGCTAATGGCTGTCTGTAATGTTGTCTGTGGATTTTATCGGCGTGACCCATAAATGTAGCAAGATTCGTGACGTCAGTATCATTGAGGTTTAATTGAATGCAATGTGTGGCTATATGTTTCCGCAAGGTTGTACCACGCAGAGTAGCTGGACAACTGGCGTTACACTTTCGTGCAAATTCCTGCATTAAAATACAGGCTCTAAGGTATCTATATCTATGTTTGTTCAAACCAGGTAATCCAAATATGTAAGGATTTCTTTTTGTTATATTAGCTTCTATTCGAAGCTAATATCTAAAGAGGACAAGGAAATTGCACAAAAATATGTTCAATTCTGTATAAGGGGTAAATTGGGGCGGATTGTCCCCGTTTTATTGCCAAACGATCTTTTTGAATGCGACACTTTAATTTTGAAATTTCGAAAAGAAGCTAATATACCAAAAAAAATCCTTACATATTTGGATTACCTGGTTTGAACTGATATATATCACTGATATGCTCTTGATACATTCGGTAATGAGAAGATGACGTATATGTTTAAGGCTCCTGGGCTCTTTTTGTCATGATGTAAAATATATTGTGACGTCAGAGGCGAGAAATGACATATTTTGAAATGACACGCTGAGAATTCTTGCCATTTCTCGCTCACCTGAGGTCACAATCTTACATTATGACGGGAAGAGCTCATAAGCCTTAACAAAGATTGACAATTGACTGCTACTGCAGGAGTAGGGGAGACCGGGGCTAGACCGCTAACGGGGTAAATCCGCAAAATCAAATATCTCGGAACTTGTATATTGTGCGAACTCGCTATTAATATTGTAAACACTGCTTATGGTACCGATGTGACCAACGGAGTTTCGGCAAGTTACCTGCCGTGTTATGATTTTTACGAGGGCAAACGTGTTTTTAGAAGGTGAAAGTGAAATTTTCTGCGCGTGGAAATATTGTAATATCTGCAATAATATTTGCTCTCCAAATCTCGAGGTACGTGATTATAAAGAGTAATGCATGCTGAACATGAATCCAGTGTAGTTTTTTGGGGCTTATCCGCAAGTGAGCACCCGGGGCTAGTCCGCAAGTCTCGTCACTGTGGCGCGCCGGGCGCACGACTTCAACTCACGGCGATTTCAGGTTAGGTTGTGACCGGACGTCACTCTCTGGGTGCGTGGATCACACGAAAATGTGAAATCTCAGCCAGATTTGCCTATCAAACGGTCGCCACTTGGTTTGACCTTGATATACCGAGAAGGTAAGTATCGAAATTATAGCACGATATCTCGCGTGCCCTTTGCTCGATTCTCGCCGCGATCGTCTTTATTTACTCCGCTCGGTTCTCCTGCCGAGGCCCGCTCGTTGTCTCGTTCGGTCCTTCATCTACGGCTCGCCTGCCGGGGTCAGTCAGGCCCCGGTTCCCCTATTCGTCGCGTCGCTATATTTTCAGATTAACGCTAGCCATATGGGCTCTTCGGACTCGCTTATCCGGTATTTAGCCTAAGAAAATATTAATGTCCGCTGCTCTCTTGGTCTCTGCTGCCCCTCGGGTGTCCTCGGCTCCACGGCTATGCGAACGGTTGCAAGGTTTCCCTCGAGCGGCGTGATTCTGTCTTCCCTTGCACGTGCGTCAGTTGTATAGAAGGGAAATGGTACGCACGTATCGTCGCAAAACGACTCCCGTCGACAAGGAGCAACTCAAGAAGGCAGTTCTTGCGGTGAGAAAAGATAAAATGACCGTTTCCGCAGCCGCAAAACAATTCGATGTCCGGATATCCACGTTGAACGACTGGTTGAAGAAGAACAACGATGAAATAAAAAACTTGGATGACGTGGTCGTACTACATAAAGGACATATCCCGGTGAGTACTTAACGATTATTAATTTTTAAAGCATGCACTCTGCTCAGCAAAGTTTTTATTCATGCAACGTCTTAATTTCAAATGTAGGTTATGGACTCTGAAACTGAAAAGACTTTAGTGGAATACTTAGTACATTGCAACGATATGTACTTTGGACTATCTGCAAAGGAAACCCGTGGTTTAGCCTTTGATTTAGCCAAAAAATTGAATCTCAAGGTACCAGCATCGTGGGAAGCCGCTCGCATGGCTGGTGAAGATTGGCTAAGCAGCTTTCTGAAACGACATCCAACATTATCCATACGCAAACAAGAAGCGACAAGTTTAGCACGTGCCACCAGTTTCAATTGAACAAATGTAGAAAGGTTCTTTGCGCTGCTAAAATCTCTGATGGATAAACATCATTTCCAGGTGTGTTAACTGATGAATAAATCTTGCCAGTTTTGGTCGAAAATAACGTTTCTCATCATTTTTAGCCTCATTGCATATGGAATATGGATGAGACAGGAATTACAACCGTTCAGACACCGAATAGAGTCATCGGACGTCGAGGAATGAAACAAGTCGAGCGAGTGACTTCTGCGGAAAGAGGAACCCTTGTAACTTTGGCGATGGCGGTGTCAGCGACCGGGCATTCTCTACTTCCATTTTTTATTTTTCTTCATAAAAATTTCAAGGAACATTTCCTTAACGGCGCGGCGGACCACCAGGCTGCACAGGTGTAGCGAATTCAAGTGGCTGGATGAATGCGGAGCATTTTGTCCAGTTTTTGCAGGTCTTCCAGTCTCATGTGCGTGCTTCCGTCGACGCCCTAATTTTACTGATACTCGACAATCACGATTCACATTTGTCCATCGCTGGTCTCAAATTTTGTAAAAAAAATGGAATAATTCTCCTATCATTACCGCCGCATTGCTCGCACAAACCGGCGGCACGGATCATGAGTTCGCACACAGAATGAATTGTAACTTACTAAGGAGTGATTTCTCCATCTTGGACTTCTTATACTTTTTTGTTGACATTTTTTTTTGGCATTTTTTTATTGAAATCGAAGATGCCGATTTTAAAGAAAAATTTGAATTTATTATTAATGTTGAAAAATATCAATTAATCAACCTTTTTTATTAACAATGCATAATATATCTCGAAAGTGTGTAAAAAATACTTAATAAATCACTGGTTATTATTTAAAATCGGTAATATTTACGACAAATTATCGTAAAACTTTTCACGATGTGTGAAGTGTAACATGACGGCCTCAACGCCGAAACTTTAAACTTAAACCCCTGTAAGTAGACAACGCGTTGGACAAATATCTAAAAAATTGGTGTGGATAATTATGGTCAATAGGGCAATAGATTGTGCAAATTTCAGCACAATAAAAAAAAAACATTTTTTTGGGGGTGGATCACTTCGCATGGAATGCCCCATATCCTATATTAGCCTTTTCTCTAAAAAGTTTTACTTTTTATAAGTAAAACAGGATTAACCTGTAGTAAACAATTATGTTACATTGAAATATAAATATACAGAAATACATACAGCAACCTAAGCATGAGTAAAGTATGACATCCTTTATATTTGATAGGATTATATGAGTTGTCTTGGTATATATACAATAAAACCGTATACGTTAAGGATCACTGTATTTCAGTAGTTATATGTATAGTAAAATATAACAATAATATATCTTGAATCTATCGCGCTTTGTATATTATAATTGTTGCAATTTGCATATTGCATTTTTATTTTTTATATTGTGACTATGTACTATACACCTGTATTTGCTTTTATAAACAATTAATATTTTTTTGACATATATGGAATTCATTCTGTATCACATTCAAAATTTAAAAAAAATTATAAGATTACAGTAAAATAACAAAAAATGTATTTATTTAATTCTAATACACATATATCATTTTTTATACGCTTTATGAAATTTTTTTGACTGAAGTCCAAATTTTATGGTCATTAGTCATTTTTTCTTTGTTCTTATTTTTTTATTACGTATAATTTACTTCTTATTATATTATAACTTTTATATTTTACAAAATTAACATGTCAGACATGATCTTGTTGTGTACCACGAACACACTAAATTCAATATATTATATTGAAATGTGCACAGCATATCTTCTTCACTTAAAAAATTAGTCGGACTATGATAGTTGCCAAGGTGTTCGAGATCGTGCAATTCGGTACGGAAAATCGCGTCATTTTGGCAATTCAAGGCATAAGGCCAGATATTCTAATTGCTCGCGCAACATGTATGCATGAAGGGAGGGCGGTCGACGAGACTCAATTTCCACCGTGTCGTTTTAACCGCATTGCAAATCGCCTCTTCAATATTAAATTTGTCAGTATAGCATGGATCTTTCTTTCGCTCATATTCCAGAAAGTTCGCTAATCGCCAGCAAAACAATGCCACAGCTGACCGAGTGAACAAAGTCAAGCTACACAATAGAAAGGTCCATGCTATAAACAACAGCGAGCGCAAATAAGTAACGATCCGCGGATCGTCACGTGCAAACAGTGACGTCAGCGCGATGACGTAGGGCTCCGACGGCCAATCACCCTCCCGAAATTCGTAGAAATTTGTCTGGAGGGAGTTTCGCCTCGGAGGTGATAAAACGACCGCCGCCTCGGCGCGGGATCGATTCTCGCTCGTAGATCACCGCTAGTACACCGCTCATACCGCTTAAACCGCTTTTCGCTTCGCCATCCGCATTTTCGCATTCGCTTAACCGCTCGCCGCTTTTGCCGTGCTCAAGTCTGTGCGCGCTCACGGCTCTTCACCTGAAAAAAACTGTAAATAACTTGTATATATCTGATTTTTGGAACATTATATACTTTATTGTTTTCTGTACTTGCTGTCTCTCTCTTTGCTTTTGTGGTCGTCCTATTACCTCGCGCAATCTCGCGCAACCGCGTGCTCTCGAACATTTCTGGTCCTTCGAGCCGGATCATACCGGCAACCGCGAATTCGGGAGTGCTTCCGCAAAGAATGACCGCAGCCATGAGCATGGATCAAAGCGCCTTGCTGAACAGTCAGCACGACATCCACGGCCGCATCTCCCGCTCCATGGACAACCTCCGGAAGCTGGGTGCAGATAAACTCACCCTCGACGCTGTGAGCACCCGCATCCGCATTCTCGACGACCTGTGGGCAAAGTTCGAGTCAAACCATGATCTCATTCGGGCATGTTACGGGCAACTCTACAACGAGAGTGAGTACGCAAAGACAGATTTTGTCGACACTGCTGAGAACACTTACGTGCATCAGCATAGTCTGCTTACCGGTCTCGCGAATAAATTGAAACCCGCGTCGCCCAGAGTGCCAACCGGACCGGAGCAAAACAGCGAACACGCTCCCAAGACGTCACTGCCGCGTATTCAGTTGCGGAACTTTTCGGGCGCGTATGAGGAGTGGCCGTCGTTCCGGGATCTCTTCAAGTCGGTCATCGGTGAGAACTCGTCGATTTCGAACGTTGAGCGGCTCCATTACCTCCGATCGTGTCTGCGAGGGCCCGCTGAAAAATTAGTGAGTTCATTAACGGTGACCGGAGACAATTACGACCGCGCGTGGGCCATTCTAAGCAAACATTTCGAGAATAAACGGGAGCTGATACGCTCCAACTTCGCCACGTTTACCGCCGTGGCGAAGATGAAGGGAGAAATCGCTGACGAGCTGAGCCGCATCCATAACGCCGTCACAACCGCAGTCAATGGAGTTCAGGAGAGCATCGGGAGGCCCATCGAGTCCCATGGAATAGACCTCTTCAACCACCTGGTTGTCGAGCTCTTCGACCAGCGCACGCGACTCGAGTGGGAATCATCCACCTCCGACTCCGTTGATCCGCCGAATCACGAGAAACTCACTGACTTTATCGCGAAGCGCATTCTCACGCTAAACGCCGCGAAACCGAAGAACATTGCCAACACCGCGAGTGAGCCATCGCGGTCCGCGAAAACACACAACGCGAAGCGCACGGAGCCTTCGCAGTGTCCGCTCTGCAACGGAGAGCACTCGCTCATGGGGTGCCCCGACTTCAAGGCCAAGCCGGCCAGTGGCCGAAACAAACAAGCTATGCTTTAATTGTCTCGGCAACCATCTGGTGGCAAAGTGTCAGTCCACCAGGAACTGCATGACGTGCAACTCACGTCACCACACGATGCTTCACGACGCGTACAGTTTCGAGCCGCCACCCGCCGCTGAAGTCAGCGCGCTTTCCGCCGTCGGAAGGGCCGATGACCGCAAAGCGATCCTCCTCGCGACCGCGCGCGTGATCGTTGCCGATCGTCACGGGAGGCCACGAAGTTCGAGCCCTCATCGACCAAGGCTCCGAAGTGTCGATCGTGTCAGAGTCCCTGGTGCATCGGCCGCGATCGCGCACCCGAATGTCAATCTTCGGCATCGGCGGCTCACAATCCGGATCCACGCGGGGCAAGGTGTCGATGAGCCTCACGTCAACGACCACCGGAGCCACGCTCACCGCCGTCGCGTTCGTGCTTCCGCGTCTCTCCTTGTACCAGGGCTCCGCGATCAAGTGCAACACCACGTGGCCTCATCTGCAGGGGCTGCCGCTAGCCGATCCACGTTTTGCCGATCCACGTTTTGCCGCCAACAACCCAGTCGAGCTGCTCCTAGGCGCTGAGGTGTGCTCGACCATCCTGGAGGATGGTCTCCGCCGAGGCAAACTGCAAACGCCGATCGCGCAGAAGACCATCCTGAGATGGATTCTGTCAGGGGGTTGTGGTGCGACCTCTCTTCTGGGTCACCGCCGCTCACTCCAAGCTCACTCCGCTTTCGTCAGGCTCGCTCTCGAGGAAGAGGAGTGCGAGCAACTCTCCGTGCGCTCCCACGAGCGCACATCCGCTGGCCGGTACGTCGTCCGACGGCCGGTCTCATCGCCGCCAAAGAACCTCACCGAAGCTCACAAATCCGTCGACGACACGACCGCCGTGTACACCAACGTGCGCGAACTCTGCACGGCGGGCGGGCTCCCGCTGCGTAAGTGTGCCGCGAGCGTAGAGGACATTCTCGTCGGGAGCCCTCAGAAACCCCGTCGTCACCGCGCTCTCAAGATCTTCGGCTTCGACAAACGCACACCCGCTGAACGACACGTCGCTCGACTGCCGTTCTCTTCACCTCCGCAGAACCCCGCTGAAACCTGCAAGTCCGTCGACGATGTCGTGACCGGCGAAAACCCTGTCGCCGACGCGATCGCCGTGCAAACCGAACTCTGCACGGCGGGCGGGTTTCCAGCGCGCAAGGGAGCCGCTGGCCCTGAGAACCTTCTTCGTCCGCACACGATCACCAAGCTCACTCCCGAGGAAAAGGAGTGCGAGCGACCCTCCGTGCGCACCCTCAAGCGCACATCCGCAGGCCGGTACGTCGTATGACGGCCGGTCTCTTCGCAGCCGAGGAACCTCGTCGCAAGCCCGTCGACGACGCGACCGCCGTGCACACCGAAGTGCGCAAACCCTGCACGGCGGGCGGGCTCCCGTTGCATAAATGGGCCGTGAACTCTGAGGACAGTCTCGTCGGGATCCCTCAGAAATACCGTCTGCAACGCGCACTCGAACTGTCCACTACCACTTGGCTCACCGCGCTAACGCGACACGCTCGCGACTCTTTAAGTTTGTCCGCAGCTTTACTACTTCGCCGGTCCGACGCCCGCGTGACACTTCACTGGGTCACGGATTACGCATCCGGGTGGAAGCCGTTCGTGTCCAACCGGGTGTCACTCATCCAGCGTACTCGTCACGAGGCCCAGTGGCGGCACGTTCCCGGACAGGAAAACCCGGCCTACTGCGCTTCCCAGGGGATCCCTCCTCGAGAGCTGATCGGTCATCCCTCGAGAGGGACGAGCCCAACGCGGCTACCTGAGAGCCGAACCTGGTGGCCGGACGAGAGCGACGAGATTCCCAACGCCGAGCTGCCAAAGCGGAAAGTCGTCGTGCAATCCGCCATCGAGAGGATCGAAACGGAGCCTTACACCCTCCGTCGATTCTCCTCGCGGCACCGTTGCATTTCTGTCCGGCTTCCCG